TTGTTGTTGTCAGATACACCAAAAAATTAGGAACCAATAATATTACAAATTTCCAGTCATATTTTTGGATTTGATCAACAAAAAGAGTCACATTGTTGGTTGTGTTAAGGGACCACAGAAACAATGATGCATGGAGAAGGGCTGGTAATTAAAAGTAATAATATAACTAAAAACGACAATGCAAGATAAAAATAAAAATAAAAATTCAAAAATCAAAGAGAAAGCCTATTAAGATCCGACGTACAAATGATTGCTGCTGTATATATTGTCTCCTTTGGACTCTGCACCGTGTCCCACTTTAAACATCCCTCCACCGCCATCATTATTGATCATTGGCCCTCTCTCTCTCTCTCTCTCTCTCTCTCTCTCTTCTTTCTCTTCTTCTCTTCTCCCATCATCTGCCTCGCGCCCATAACCCATAAACCTAACCCTAATCAATCTCTCTCTCTCTCTCTCTCTCCCCTCACGTCATTCCACTGAGTCTGACCCAATCTCCCATCATTAATCCCCACCTCACGCGGTAGTCACATGACTTGTTTGACCTACCCATTCCTTCCTCCATCACCATAACTCACATTCCTTACTGCATTTACATCTACTTATACTGTCATACATGATACATGCATGTTCAGTAGTTCGTACGTACTCACATGAACTTGGCTTTGTGTGTCCTATTGACCGTCTCTGTCTTTCAGGTCTTTAATTTTAGTAACGAGGCCTATTTTCCATTGAGTTTAAAAGTAAATTTTGAATATATATATATGTTATCAAGGACGATTCTATGTATAATACATATAATTTCAATATATAGATTTGTAAAAAACTTAACACATAACATTGAGTTCATAAATCGTCTTATATTCAAATTTTTAGAACGTCCGATATGTTAGGAGTTGTGTGAATATAATAAAATTGCTCCCACATCTGATAAGTAATTATCTATTGTTACGTGAACTAGTGGGAAACTTTCCTAAATTGCATAAAATCTCACACTTGAATGTGTGCATTGTGCTTTTATCCTTATTGTGTGTACTGAACCTAAGTGATTAGAGTTGGCATGTGATTTGTAAACAAATTGGATGGTTGTGGTTCGAGAATATGGACATCTATGATTAAGTGAATGCGGGCTTAGGTACTCCGAAATTGAGGATAGATTCATTAAATCATCCTACAACCTAATAGACGCCTTTAAGACCAAACTTAGTAGCAGCCTCTCACAAATAGGGCAATTACTTGTATATGGGTCTCACATGTGTCCACTCATTTGTGGGAGGCTGCATGTGAAATTTCTTGATTATGGAGGACTACTCAAACCCTTTTAGATAGGGAGAGACAAGAGGTTACCCAAAATCTTAGTTATGTCAAATTTCTTTTGCAAGGGCACTCCAATATACGTATGTATGACACATGACATAAATGATATTCAAAGTGAGAATGCAATTATGCAAGAGACAAGCAAATGGCAATTACACGCCTTGCATGACCGGGAAGTAAACAATCAAAATCTTACTTTGACTATGAATGTTTTCGTGACTCAAAAAACATAAATTTATTTGGTCGCTTCCCAAATTATTTCTATATTGAATCAGTGTTTGAATTCCAAGATCACAATCAAGAAATCCATCCCGATTCTTGGGTTAGAACTCAATCCTTGAATACCATTACCATTTAGTCAAGAAACCGTAGGGTTTTTCCTTCCTTTGACTAAGCAACTAAGAATATATAATAGATCCAAGTAGGAGCAAATGGAGAGTCAACCCCGAAATTACGCACCTTTGTTCCAAACACATGAAAGATTTGCAGAATCTATGCATAAGATGATTTGCTTTCGATATTAAAAGTGATCAATCACCTAATATTACTTGGGGAAATCTCCCTATTGGTTTGACGAATACAAGTGAAAGGTCCACGGGCGGCAGCAAGCAAGCAACTAACAAATTAGGCTTTCAACCAACGTCCTCCAATTATAGCTTTTACCAAATTTCTTCCCTTTGAATGTGGTCATCATTATTTGCCATCATATTTAATTCATAGGTTACTCCAATAACATACATGTTCTGATTTTGTGCATAAAATCATGCTCAACCAGAGTCAAAACCAGAATATGCTTCTCATATTATGAAATAATCACCAATTTTGAATTGTAGCTTCACGGTGTCTTCTTTCTTCCCCCCACAAAGTCTTCGAAAATAAGTCTTGTAAACATAATTTGTTTTGCAATTACGAAAGATTAGCCAACTAAACGGGAAGATCTTTTTTGGACCGTCGCACTCAGAAGTTTCTCTAAAAATACACATATACGGACTCGTGCATGTATACGAGACATCTGAAAGTTTGAATACATTATTTTACAAACAGGTGTACTAATTGCCTTCAATTTTCTCATATTAAATCTCCTAAACAACACACGGAACATTATAAAGGAACAAGTCTCGTGATAAAAAAGGTGGCATGTTTTTCTATGATTGATTATTAAGCGAATGTTTACACGTGGCAGATACCCAATTGGTGGCCCTTGACCTAATCACTACAATTATCTGAAAACCTTATCATTGTGAAATTGTCAAATTGGTGATTACGGAATGTAGGGTTTGGTTGTTCGTGTGGCTTTTCCATAGAGTCTAATACTTTGTTGTCCCACCCAATAATTCACATCTCTCTCTCTCTCTCTCTCTCTCAAACTTATCATTAAAGCCTGCATGACTTCAATTATTGCAATGATCCCAAAAGCATGACATATCTGACCTGGTCACATCCTCTGGATGTGTATTTTAATTACGACTTGTTTAAAAAGCTAACCCACGCGCGTGGGACCACAAAAACATCACAAATAATTGAAAACATAAAAAATATCCAAACAAACCCTACTCTATAAAAATAAAATATAAAATAAAAGCATTTAAAGCCTAGTCGGCTATAGCAGCTAGTATATGGAGACCATTGGATACTCTTTTTCCCTGGCTTTTTATGGGTAGTTTCAACGTTTGATGGCTATAGCTACCACCACCAATGCCAATGCCAAGCTGCTTAAAAGACACAAAAGCTGGTTGCCCCCATAAACTATACGAAAAAGCAATTAATGAACAAGGGCTTCTCTTGGAATGGTAAAAGATGATCACTTTGTCTGCCTCAATTAGACACATTTATAATAGTCAAACATTGTATCATTTCATTACATGTACATTTTGAACTACCCATTTATACAAAAATATTCTATTTAATAATAAATTGTGAACTTCTAGACTCTATTTTATTTTCACTATCATAAATTATTTATTTCCTATTATTAATTCGGATTCCCTGTTTTAATATAAAGGAAGTTGAGGTTGCATTTAAAACGGGAATAATTTGTTCTGACACAATAAAAAGAGTTGAGCATTCACCTCAAAATTAACTTGTAAAATAAAAATAGATAGCTCAACTTCTTACAAATTCACGTTCGATGTATGACGAATCATCCATTTGACTAATCCTTCCCGTCGACAAAAGAAAAATTCATTCTTTCCCAATGTTTTGCTATGTGCACCCATACCATACTAGGCATTGCTTGGCTGCTGAGAAAGAGTAGCCAATTGGTAGATGATGGGTGTAGAAAGTTGGTAAAGCTACACTGGTCTGTAAGGTCTGGTTGGTGAGTCAGCGGTCCAAAAGCCATCAGAGTCATTTCATTTCAAATTGCGTCACTGATGATAAGGAAAACTTGGAAACTGCAAAAGCTTGAAGCTTAATTGGCTATCATTTGAATACAAACAAAACCCCAACAGTGCATGCCCAACCCATATCATTTTGTATGTGTTATTGTGTTTGGTAAGAACACATACATCATTCCCTCATCTTACCATCATCATGATGCTGATCATCAATCATGATAATCATTATAAATAAATAAAACACCAAAAACCACAGGCCCCCGTCATCCCAGCCCTTCATTAAGTTAATTATTTATTATAATTATGTTATAATTTAATTGATTGTTTTCGTTTATTAATGTCATGATAATCGTGGCCCTTGTTTGGTGAGGAAACAATTAATCTGTGGGTGGGGGGGGGGGGGGGGGGGGGGGGGGGGGATAATCACGTATGTAAACAAAGCTACTTGTAAGCAACATATATTTTGCTAATAATTTATTTTTTTGGATAAAACATTCTGTTGCCTTCTTCTCCCAAATATATGTATATATATTGTACCTTTTTCCTTTCTTTTTTTTTAAAAAAAAATGCAGAAAAGTCAATTTGATTTCAATTCTTAAAGTCTTGACAACCACATCTTTTCTTCCCACCCTCAATTTATAGTTGTTTATTTGGAAGTGTATTATTCCCAAACAATTGCTTGTCTTATTGACTAAAATACAATTTTCAGATACGATTTTTCAATTTGAAGTTAGCATGACAATATAATATAATATGTATTCATTACCATGTTATGTTAATAGATTGCCAATATAATGTAGTGAGCTAAATAACGAATATGAATTTAAGGTTTAATTTCAATTTGGTATCCTACTTACTGCAGTTGTACTCGTAAGGTATGTTCGTAAGGCATGATATCAGACGAACTTGTATAATATTTAATTTGAGAAATATCACTGTCTACATGTGATGCAGTGCAACAAACATGCATGCGCTCATAATATTTTGACTATAAAGGATAAAAATGTGTCTCTTATTTTTGGTCCGACCCCTCTCTTTTCTTCTCTCTAAGTCTCGTGTATGAACCGTTGTATAATTAAATATATTCACGTGCGTTTGTCAACCTGGGTTTGTCGGTCAATCTTACTCTTTTCACAAAGCGAAAAAAATAGAAATAAAAAGGGGGGAGAAGTAGGAGGAGGGCGTTTGTGTCGATCTCTGTGTTTTCACATTAAAAAGATTGGATAGACATAATCTTCTCAATAGACTATTGGTATAGTACTTGTTCACTTTGGCTTCTTTTTAAACTCCTCATCTCCTTCCTTTCCACCAAGTATTGTTCAACAACAACAAAAAAACATCCCCAAAAATATGGAGCTGGCTCTGAGTTTGGGTGATGCTTCAAAGCCATTTCTGTTCCTTGACAAAGCCCCAAAGATGGGTAGCAAAGATCTAGGGTTTTGCATGGGCTTGGGAGGGGCTTTCAGTGCAAGATCAGATGAGAGTAGAGAGAGTACCCATGAAGGAGGCCATGATCAAGATGAGAGAAGAAGAAGAAGGGTTTCATCAGATCCACCTGTTCAGCTTAATCTGTTGCCTTCTGCCCCAGTTCCTCGAAGCCATGCTTCTTCACAGCTTCGCTTCCCCTGGCTCACTGATAATCGTAATAGCCACTTCCCCAGAGCTTATTTTCTTCTCTCTTTTTATTTCCTTATATATATATATATATGTATATATATAATATGTTGTGTTTGTTTGGTTGCTGAGAAACCAACAAAATAAAAAAGAAAATATCTGAACTTTGTGTATCCAAATAAAACCCACTTGACCAAATTTCAGTTTCTTTTTCTTTGTGGGGTAAATTTTCTTGGAAACCAAACATGACCCAAGTTTTTGTGACTTGCGGGCTTCAATGGGTTTTGATTATTTTCTCATATTGGGTTGCTTTTGGATTTTGTCAGTGGCAGTGTCTGAACCGGCCGGTTCATCAGACGGACCGGGAAGAGGGTTGGATGTGAACCGGATGCCGGGGATGGTAGCCGCGGCGGAGGAGGCAGAAGATGCGGCTGCGCCTCTGTCATCTCCGAACAGTACAGTTTCATCGTTTCAGATGGACTTTGGAGTTGGAAATGGAGGAAGATCGAGCAAGAGAGATTTGGAGCTTGAAACTGACAGAGCGAGTTCCAGAGCGAGTGATGACGAGGACAACGGGTCGACTCGGAAGAAACTCAGGCTCTCTAAAGACCAATCGGCTTTTCTTGAAGAGAGCTTCAAAGAGCACAGCACTCTCAATCCAGTAAGTCCAAAAAAGCCACATAGAAATTTTAGAAATTTATTTATTTATTTATTTAGAGTCTTGTATATTGAGTTTATTTATTAATTAGTTTTTGAAATTTATTTGCAGAAACAAAAACTTGCTCTGGCTAAACAGTTGAATCTTCGTCCACGCCAAGTGGAAGTGTGGTTTCAGAATCGAAGAGCAAGGTATGATACTTTTTTTTTTTCCTTTTCTTCCCTTGATGTGATTTTATTTTACATTAATTTATTTTTGGTAACAAATAAAACCCAACAATTCATTAATAGGAAACAAACCCAATATATCTAATCCTTTTTTTTTAACCAAAAAATGTGTAAATCCTATTTCCTAGATCGAAAGGAGCACATAAAATTATAGTACAAGTCCGAATATGTGTAATCACTCGTAATCGAGATCAAGTTTGAATTCCCTTCCTTTATAACAAAAAGAAATTTATTCGAAACCCGAGTTTGTAATCACTCATAAACCATATGTTGTCCGTCTTAAATCATGTGTTCTTTTTTACTAATTTGTTCATGGGAAAAATGATGAATTTTTTACAGGACTAAATTGAAGCAGACAGAGGTAGATTGCGAGTACTTAAAGAGATGCTGCGAAACACTGACAGAAGAGAACAGAAGGTTACAAAAAGAGCTGCAAGAATTAAGAGCCTTAAAAACTTCTCAACCTTTCTACATGCAGCTTCCTGCCACAACCCTCACCATGTGCCCCTCATGTGAGCGAGTGGTCACCACAGCCGCAGCCAACACAACCAACAACAACAACAACAGTTTAAAGTCTGCTCTAACCAAGCCAAGGTTACATCATCCTTTTGCTCAAGCCCAAGTCCACATGCAGCATCAGGTTCAAGCCAGCAAAGGAGCTGCTGCATGAGATGTCAATATAGAATCTGAATATCTTGTTCTCCATTCCATTTGTACATATTTTTGGCTTGGAGCTGGGTTTTTTAAATTTAATTTTAGTTTATTTTACTTTTTTTAGTTTTGGTTTTCCCAATCATTTGTCTCTGGTTTCTTTCTTTCTTGTAAGTGTTGGAAGCCAGATACTGAAAAGGGTGATGATATATTTGTTTATTGATGAGAAAAGTAGAAACGATTTTGCTAGAAGAAACCTTTATTTGTGTTTTTTTCTTTGTTGTTTTTTCTGGATTCTTGTTTGTTTTCACAGAGAATTCAATATATTTACTGTCTGGTGTATTTTTTGTTAGCTTTTATGATGATCGGTCAATTTTCACATATATGGTACATTTATGGATCCACGTTTTCCCAATGATTTCTTACATGAGATCAATAAATAACAAGGGATTTCCTTACCATAAGCAATGTTTAGTGCCAGACTTAATGTTATTTAGCAAATTCTTAAATATTCTCGGTGCTTGAATTTGGACTACACATTCGTCACAGCCTGACAAGAGAATATTTTATACTCTATATCCGAGTGACAAACACCAAAATATTTCATTATTATATAATTATTGGAGTTGAGTATATAATAATTTTTGGACAACCGAACATGTTATATATAGTAAACAAATCACTTGGGAGAATTCAAATTGAAAACCTTATGATAATAAGATAACATGAACTTGAGATTCTTAAACAGTCAGGTTATGAGGATGGTTTAATTCAGCTAGTCAATTCAATGTCGTCTTATGCTTCGTGCTGTCATTATTAGATGCCATGGTACTCAAGGAACTTGTTTTAATGAACGACGTTGACTCAACCATTTTGACAGACACCAATTTCAGCCGTAACTTCTACAATTTGTTTAAAGGGATTTCTTTTCTTCAGGATTAAGTTTTTGTGTCATCCATTTGTTTATTCATCTCATCATTAATTAATAAGCACGTACATCTCTTCTCTATAATTACCAAATCTCTTGGCAGCATTATCAACTTGATGTTGATGGAATCATGTCTAGGCATAGTTTGTTTAATTTAGAAAGGGCTAAGAAGGCTCTTTTGCTCTTTTGGTGCACAACTTCACTTGTGGGTGAGAGTGCATGGATAGAGTGCAATGCTTAACGCGTAAATTTGATATACATTTTTGGCTCATATTTTGAAAGTTGAAATTTCGAAACTTGTGGTATGCACGTCAACACTCACTGCCAAGATTAAGCACATGTGTAAAAATGGTAAATGGACATTCTATTTGATAGTTATAACACTCATGATTATATTAATTAACACCTTGGCATTGCTAAGTCATCGGGGAGAAGCCTCAAATCGGGGCCTTAATGAAGGAACATATTATGGAGCTTGATGGCATGATATCTAAGACAAACTTTTGGAACATGCCATGGATGAAGACTGTTGGAAAGGTGAGAATATAAGTCCTGTTAGGTGAATAAAATATACGGGTGAGGCTATAGCTCTAGCTGTAAAAATGCAAGAGACCTGATTGAAGAATTAAAGGAGGAAAGTTAGGCATACGACTTGGAGAAATAAATCAGAAAGCAGCTGAAATAACTTGAAGAAAAATATCTTTGGTAGAAAGAAAGCCGAAAGCAGCTGAAATTGACCAAACAAGATGTGCAACAACAATAATGCATGAAAAGCAACGAAAATATGGAAAACATATTATGTCTGAAATTTTTGTTCAAGAGCTGTTGGATTGGTGACTTGAAATTGATATGATTGGACCAAAACCAGTAGATAGCTCTGCTACCATAAATTATGTGGTCAGCAAAGCCCATCTATTATTGTATTTAGCAAGGATGATAATTGATATGATGGTCTAGGGCATGTGGTGTGGGGTTAACGCCTAAACTTTCGTTACAATACAAGAGAATCCAATTTTTTACCTGCTTAATCTTTTAACTTATTTCCTCATTTACGCCCACCATTTTGAATAAAAGTAATACTACACTTACTATATTTTTATCCTACATTTTTATATCACATGATGAGCATATTCATATCATATGTCACATCAATTAAATCAATCACCGATTGTTATTCCTAACCAGTCACCGATTGCTACATGGAAAAGTTATCACGTGTGGCATGCCATAGTAATAAGAAGTAGCAAAATAACGCTATACCCGTTGCACACAAACGTTTCTCCTAATCATGGCTGTAGCTCTTTATAAATTTAAGAACATTTTCATGGAATTTTTGTTTTAAAAAAGTTACGTAATGGCACCCTATATACAAAAATCGGTTCTTTTTTACACAAATAAAAGAGGGTTATAGAAGGATTTTGGGTAGCATGGGTGATTCAATGGAAATTCAAGTGGAAATCGGACAATTCTCAGTGTTTTTTTTTCTTTGGTTTGCAACTCCTCTCTATCTCAATTCCGCTGGGATCAAGAAAGTTATAGATTGTGGTTGTGTGCTCGGGTATTGCTACAAATCTATTTTGGATTGGCTTTGGTAATGCAACCCGGTGGTTGAGCAAGTTCTTCTCGCACTACACTCGAGGACGTGGGAACTTCTCTTACTCATACTGTAAGAGCCCGCTAGTAGGGCTTGCTCTAAAAATTGACTTGTAAAGGAATGATGATTGGCCTTTCCGGGGAGTTATGTCCCAATAGTATGGCTTATAGATCAAACTTACCCTTAAAAGCTGGCATGCAATACAAAAGTGCTCGGGAACTCTTAAATCATTACAAAATATGCTATTTTTTTCTCAATGTGAGACATCGAGTGCCAAAGTGCTTAGGATGAGATCTTTGTGGGTGGTGGAGATCTTCAATCAAGGCATCCTAGCTAATTCGTACCAAATAATAACTTGGGGATTAAGGATGTCTCCATTGTTAGGTAGGGTTTCTATTATACACATGGATTGCCTTAGTTTATTTTCACAGTACAGTGCGTGAATTGAATTTTCACAACCACCATCAAACCAAATTGACTATGAAATCTTTTCAACACGGAAATCATATCAACTTGTTCCACTACCCTGATGGGACGCCCTACAAATCAAGCAGCCCTCTTATTACAACTAGTTTTACAGGTGACCGTTATAGGTTGATAGTTGATAATGCCCGGATAAAGAAGGAAAACAAAGCTTTCTGAGACTCAACCATGGCCTCTCATAATAGTAATGATGTGGACCAATCATTGTTTGATCCTACAACACTTGTGTCGGTAAGTAGTTTCCCCTGTGATTTGAAGCATAACTCTGGTTTGAGAATTGATCATTTTAACAGGTTATATTGTTGTGATTGTTATAGGTTTGGTATGCCTTTAATTGTGTAGGACATGTGGTTTTGGACTTTTACATCATGCGCGAGCCCCAAATAAATTAGGTCTTGGTTCCTATTCTGCCATGCCAAATATTATAGCGCCTTTATTAGATAATTTAATTTACTAATTTATGGTGGCAACAAAAAAAGTATCGTCGAATAATTAGTAAATTAGACAATTTAATTTACTAATTTACGGTGGCGACAAAAAAAGTTTCGTCGAATAATTAGTGAATTTTGTAAAGAGATCAAAACAAGCCTTTTTCATCACATGAGTAACATTGATCTATGACCCAAAACACATGAATGATCTGTGCAATTTAGCCTTAAAAAAGCACTTTGATGGACAACATCAAGAAGTCTCTTTCTATGTATCATCAATTTACTTTTTCTTTTGGATTGAATGAGACACATTAGAACAAAAGAACAAGAAATACAAAGCCCAACAACGATGTTCAACTAAAAGATGGGCCACACTAAATAGAGCCCATAAAGGAGCACAAGCAAAGCCACAAAATTTGACCAAAAAGAAGAGGAGGAAACAAAGCCCAAAAAAAAACATCAAAAATGAAAAAACCAAAAAAACAAGAAACAACAAATACAAACCGACAGTGAGGGGGACCCACCAAAAGAAAGATAACCAACCAAGATAAAAAAAAAAAAAAAAAAAAAAAAAGAAAAAAAAAAAAAAAAACTTAACTTGTAAACCAATGGTCTCAGGTTCGAATTCCCATGGCATTTTGGCAAAGATTATTACTAAACAAACCCTAAAATTAACTAAGTACACCCTATGATCTAAGTACACCATAATATTTTAGGGAGATTTACTAATATACCCAATATGAATGCCCAAATTATAAAAATACCCCATATGAAATGAACTTTATAAACACACCCAAAACCCATTTACAACATAACAAAAAAGCTTTAACTTCTTATAAATTACAAAACTACCATAAATTTCTTAAAACAAGCCCAACCCCAAAATCTCATAAAAATACCCAAAACACTCAATAGGGCATTAAAGTAATTTAATAATCAATATTAAATTCAATAAGGCCAGTTGTCATTTTTTGGGTTTTTTTTGGGTTTGTTTATAGAAATTCAATGATGGAGGGTTTATCTATAATATTAGTGCTAAGAATGGGTATATCACTAAATATCTCAATATTTTAATCAAAATGTAAAATTAACTAAGTACACCCTATTTAACGACCAAAAATACCCCTACACCCTAATACACTCTATCACACAATACCCTAGTGCCAATCCTAAGTAGTTAATTATGAGTAGTTAATTCAACAAATGAAACAGACCTAGTTCATAATAGGTCAAGAAATTGACAAATTCCTTATAATCTTTGGAAAAACCGAATTAGACCCAAATCAAATTACACAAAGATAAGACAGGAAACAACAAGAGACCATCTACCATTATACCCGAGATCCAAGAAAAGAATATGGGGTGAGCCCAAGACGAAGATCAAAGAGGCCAAGAAATCACACTTTCCTTTGCTTCTTTTTGGTTCTTCTGTGACCCCCCAAAAAAGACCAAGATTACTCCTTAGTATCACTGGAATTCTCCCCCCTTTTAAATATCAATAATTATATTGCTTGAATTCATTAGAAATCATAATCAGCCAATAAAGAGAAAAGTAGCCTTCCGGATTAATAGATCAGTGGATCTGGGGATGAAATGATCGAACCATTGAAGTCTACAACAGTAAAGGGTATTGCAAAATAATGGGCTTGATTATCAGATTCTCTCTCTGTTCTTCTTTGTGACTCTTGCATACTTGAATACTTCCAATCTAATTCCATTCTCCTCTGTCCTCGTTCCTCTCTCTTTCTTTTATGTTTGATTAGGGTCGAATATGGTGAGTTGAGTGTACTTATTAAGATGAACGAAGTCTTATCCAAGCCCTCCCACAACTGGCCATTAAATTGCTCCAAATGGCAAATCACCTCACAAGTCAACATTAAAAAATGTGGGCGGAAATAAGATTCTAAGGCAGCATGGCCTCTCTGTTAATCCATAATTAATCAACTTAATTAGGCTTCATATTAGTAAATTAATTTTTCTCATTAACTAAAAGATAAGTCCCAAATCATTGGTTCAATGTACTGCCGCGTACATGGTGGTCAATGGTAGCTACACTATAATTAGACGTGTCAACCGCTAACTAATCAGATTCAAACATGGACCCCTTAAATTCTGAATGCCTGACTTATAGTAAACATTGTTGATTTATGGTCAAACATCCCATGTGACATGTGATAAAAAGTTCTTCAGCTTAAACCTAACAAAAGACCTAATCAAATATATAATAATTTAGATTAGAATTATAATATAATCTAAACATGTCAAAAGCAGCAAACGGTCGGCAGCTTTAAGCTGGTAAGGGTGTGACAAAAGCCTAAAAGAATATTAAGCAGGATTAAATATGAGCCACTAGATTTATTAAATAAAACAAACTAAATAATTAGAATTTAGACATTTACAATTCTCAGAGCCTTTCATTTGGGGCTAAAAGAATGAGATGCGGTAAAGGAGGAGAAGAAATTTACAAGTGAAAATTTCACTAAAAATCCCTCCCTACCCTCGTTTCACTCTTTCCTCATATAAACAGATAGGTTTGTTTATTATTTTTCTCACATAACTTGTAGCATAAGCACTCTTCCTCTCCGATCTTTGCCTCACTGCTTTTATATAGATAACGTTGAGAAAAAGGGTAGGGAAAAAGAGAAAGTATACTGCTGAGTGTGATTTTGACTCGAAATTTGAGTGTGTATGAATGTGGAATTTTAGGTTTTGTGTAATTTTTTTTACCTACACTCTCTTCTGCTGTTGCAGTTGCTGCTGCTGATTCTGGTACAGTTTTACTAGGAGCTCGGCGTAGAGAACCTCATTCCATGCATCAGGAACACCGGGAAGGCACCAATGGCTGCAATCCTGGAAGCTCTTTGGTGATCTCCTCTCTGCATCGGACAGGTGTTGCTTTCGGTAGATTGATGGGTGACCATCCTTCCGGAAATCGGTCATTCTTGTGATGTTGAGATAGGTGACATGGGTTTTCATGTTTCTCAACACCTTCTCCAGTACCAGCATCTTAGGGGGGTATGGCCTCAGATACATCTCGTTGGAGATGGGAAGAGTCTCACTGTCACATTGGCCACCAGAATTCCACTGCCCACCACTGTCGGGAGAGACACAAATGGTTATTATTGTGTGTCTCTGCATTTAATATTCTCAAGTATAAACACATTTAGGAGGAAATATCAAATAGAACATTCATACACTTTAAATTGGATTACTTCAAGCTTACCTGAAATGGGAAGCAGAATAACCACGAAAGAAGACGATACTTTTCCTTGGATTAATTTTGGCATCAACCCATCTGGCCCATGTAGTTAAAGCTTTCCGAAATGCCTCGAGAACATTCAGTTCACCATAAACATGGCTACCTTCTTGGTAATAGTCTTTCCTGAAAGTTTGAATGCTATTTTAGTCCCAACTACAAACCAAAGAATAATTTGAAACCACTTTGAACATCAAAATAGTAATAAACATACCCTTTGGAGGTTTTCTCATGAGTCCACCAGTGTCCAGTGTTGAAGATGACGATATCTGCATCTTTATATAGATCAGAAGATCTCCCTACTAAGTCGAGACGAAGTGTCTCTCTCTTTGATCCGTCTTTTTCTGGCATTTCCCATTCTCGAACTAAGAAGGGAGACACAAAAAACTCCACCGTGCAGTTATAGTCCTGCCAAGTTTCACTAAATTAAGGATATGTTGCCGCACAATCCAATAAGAATAACTTGAATAATTGAATAAACCTACTTTGAATATGAAGGAGTAAGAAGCTTCGCCACGAAAATGGGTTCTTCCGTTTGCTTCGAAGACCTTGCTTTTATCTTTGGCTGAGTTTCTCAGGATGCAAACCAGAGACTCCCACATATTCCTGTTCAGCGAATCACCAACGAAAACCAGGCGCCTTCCTCGCAACAACTCCAACATATGACTTCCATCCAACCTGGTATTAAAAAAACATTTCAATATTGATAAGTCTTAGTCAATCAAAACCCAGAAAACTCAGTCATGGATCGATTTCAATAGAGATATAAAACAAAACCCACAACTGATGAATAGTCAGCAATCACAAAAAGATGCCAAAATTGTAAAATTGACAACAGATCAGTATGAATTTCGATCTATCAAAACCCAATAACCCTTCATCCAATGAAAACTAAGAACTTTGCAGGCAATCAAAACACACGCATCTCAAAACAGCACATCAAAAGCCAATCCAAATACCATCTTTTACATAAACTTGGCAATTAAAGCATCAAAGTTCAAAATCAAAAACTGCAATTTGGCCACATACCTTGGCAGAGTGCAATCCTTAGGCTTCCATTTGAATTTCTGAAAATCCTTATCAGGCCTACCATTAAGAATGCAATTGAATTGCTCATCAATCAGAGGACAAGACCCGGGTTTGTATAGAGGGTATGAATCATCCTTCACCCATTCCCCATGTAATATATCACAATTCATCAAAGACTTCACCAAATCATCATTCCCTTGCTTCCCCTGCTTCACCGACACACCAGAATTTGTTTCATTGCTCTGTTTCTTCAACACGGAAGCAGTATAATTCGATTCCACTCCCTTCTGTGCAACACTCTTCTCCGGAGAACCCGATTGCGGTGCCGAATTCGAGCTTTTATTCCCCGCCGCCGCCACCGGGGTTTTCGGGGCGGCAATTGCGGTCTGATTGGCCTTAAAAACTGCGGCTTTATCAGAATTCTGGGTGCTTTCAGTTTGGTTCTTCACAAGGGTGGTTGGTTCAGGCTTACTAGTCGTATTCTTGGGTGTAACTAGAGGTTTAGGCGGTGCGGTTGATGTCTGATTTGGGTTCAAAATTGTGGGTTGAGTTTGGTTTTTCACAAGAGGTGGTTGTTTATTCACAGAGGGAGCTTGTGCGGCGGCGGTGCTAATAGATCTAGAGGGCTCTGTTTGTGGAGCAAAAGCAACGGCTTGATTTTGTTGCTGTGGAGATGAAGTGCCATTGGGAAACAAGAAAGAGAAAAAAGAACTAGAACTAGAACTGGTACTGGAACTTGTGAAGATGTTTGAGAACCAAGGAGCACCAGAGTTTGGGGAGGGGCTGAAGGCCAAGAAAACAGTGAAGGCAACAAAGGCAAACATGAACCCGTAAGCAAAAGCCACAGTTCTTCTGGTTTTGAGGATGGAGAAGAGGCTCTTGAGGTCTGAGAGCAAAGTTCCACCATTGATGGTTGGAAGGTGGTGCTTTGTGGCCTCGGCCATGGATGTGATTGTGGAAGGAGAGGAGCCAGATGTGGGGAAAGTGGAAGTTGAGGAGAGAGAGGGATGAAAGTACAAATGGTGCTGCTTCTGGTAGAGAGAAAAAGAGAGTGTTTTGTTGTGTGAGAATTCTTAAGTGGATGAAACACTAATGAGAGAGAGAAACCGAGGAGGGATATGGAGTTTTACTATGCTGGACCAAGGCATGTGAGCTCTGGGGGATATAATGTTTGACCCCGGTTTCTGGGATTATTTACAAGACTGCCAGATGTTCTCATGCAAAAGGGTACACATAGTACATGCCCCTTAATTTAACTCCAAGCAACTTGAAAAGAGTTCCAAGCAACTTCTGACACGTGGAGGGTTAAAGAAAATTGAGTAAAAAGGATGGATCTACTAGTTCGTGAGCCAATGAGGATGTAACATGTGGAAAGAAGGATAAATAAAATATAAAGAGAGAAAAGAAGTTAATTAATTATACACCAGCCTTCTTCTTACCATGTTTTGTGGCCTGATTGTTGGGTGTTGCCCTTTTCTCTAATTATAGACATGAATCTATGCACTCAACAGTCAACTCGAACTGAAAATAGCTTTGTTTTGTACCTTGAGTTGTTCATCAATGAGGGTATTTATAAATCAAATAGAAACAATTACAAAATAAAATAAAAAAGGATTTATAACTCCGGATATAAATTTTAGTTCTAACAAAATAAGTTATGATGATAAAAGATCAGAATTACACAAAAATATTGAATTTAGTCCTATGAGTAAGAGGAGATCAAATTAGGAAGGTTTCCCTTGTTCATTGTCGTTTTGAAGAGGTTCAGAATGAATAAGTTTTTAAAAGATCCGAAATGAGAAACCTCTCACAAGTGAACAATGTGAGACTAGTCCTCAAACCAAGATTAGGAACTCCCAATACGTCGAGCGTAGCATATGAGATGACGAGCCACACCACTAGCTGAAATTCATTAGTAGTTGGATTATATGTGCCCCACTACTCAGTGCATTATATTCTAAAATCATGTATGGGGCTATTCAAGGGTGGTTTTGTCATTTCCCCCTTGATTACAACCTAGCAAACAATTTCAATAAATTCTATGAGCATGGCGGATTCATGATTCAAATTGGGGGGGAAGGGGGGTCATGTATTTACTGGAGGCCATTAACTAAAAACATACAAATTTATGTTAATATTATAGAAAACATTACATTGATCGGTGAAAGCTTACAAAACATTGTAAGGGGGCATGACCATCTTTGGTTTAAAAGTGATTCGGCCTTTATATATGCTTGTAGCGTGCTAGCGTCACATTTATTTTATATAAATTGTCTAAGAATGAGAATATCTCGAGAGGTCTTACCATTCGTGTTTACACCTCTTCACACATTAGATTAACAAATTGCGTTTAAATTAAATTGAATTAATTTTCACACGACATTCCACGAATACGCACATACACAACCCATTGCCAAGTCCAGGAATCTTTGCTTTGAATAGACATAAGAGTTGTCTATTTCCCTTTCTTATTTTTCTTGCTTTTTCCTTTGTCCTTTTCACAGGTGACCTTTTTTTTATTTTTTGTTGGTCGAAATTACACAGGTGACTCAATTCTCATGTCATGCCATATTTTCGAAAATAAAAAGTGAATTAATGTGGGGCTCCATTCCTCCATTATTTTGTAGGGGCACTCCGACAGGCCATTCAATAGGGGTGCCCACATTGATTGTCATAGACTCATAATTCATAAAAGACCAATGACCAATTGGGGAGGTGAGAAAAACAAAACAAAAATAAATATATAAATCTCCATAAAATAATTTTAATTCTAAAATAAAATAGTGTGTTTTTTTTGTAAAAAACCTATTGCAGGCTCGAAAGTGCATACGGAGAGACTAGTTTACTGGATCTGTGGTACCCTTGAGATTGAAATTTGAAAGTGGAGTCGGCTATGCATGCGGTTTTCCACTTCCAACTGTTATCCTAATTTAAACATTAATCACTTTCCGCGTGGGGCCCCCGGAGTTCTCTAACAGAACCCGACGGTGAGAAAAAAGTCTCTTTCTTCCCGTAAATGGAAGCGGAAAGGTAAATGTGACGCGTTGGATTGGATTGGAGGGTCCCACTAGGCGACGGTGACAGAGCGGACACGACAATAAATGCCTCAGCGCTTGGATTTTGTTTTAGATTGGCATCACCGTCAGATGTTGGCGTTCTTGGGGTTTGGGGAAATTGTAATCGCCACTGCCAACGCCAAATGTTGGCTGTTTGATGAGTTCCATGAAATTTTGGGATCTAGTAAATGGATTTGTGCCCATTATTATTTATTCTCCTTCTGTCTACCCTACTGATAAATCAAGGAACAACAACTATGCTCTTTAAAAAACAAATACCAAATTATGAACGGCAACTATTCTATTAAGATAGGCGATAATATATTAAATTCACACACACAATACGAATATTAAGACTCGAACTCATACATAATATGAATATATATATATATATATACAAATTATAAACAAAAAAACTCACTTATTCAGTTCCTTTTTCTTGTTGTTATCCCTTGGATTGAGTTGTCTTATCATATTTGGATGCATGAAGGAAAAGTCTCTCAGAACATAATGATGTTTTCTAATTTTTCTAACTCTTGAAGGATCTCGATGCTTTTATTTGATATTATTATATAACTCTTGAAAGGATCTTGAAAAAGGAATATGTATGTTGACGGGAAAACAAATTAGGGTTAGTCATGGCACCTATGCATTATCCCATAATGCTTCGCATGGCTTGGCGATCATGGAACCTTTTGTATTGTCACTCGTTTTTATATTAGTAAGAAAACCCATTGTTGCCAACTTTTACACTTAATTTCCGAGTATGCTTTTTAAAATTTAACCATTGTAACATAAAAAAATACTTATCTTCAAATTCCTACATTTATGTCAATAACAGTTTGACACATGTGTAGATTTTTCGTAGATTTGTCAAACCGTAATTTACAAAAAGAATGAATATCTCATTTTAGAAGCAATATCCTTTTAACGTTAAACATAAATATCATCACCCATACTTTGTTTGCTACACAACTTTTTTGGTTTCTCCTTGACTTCAAAAGGTGAGCGCTTATTAGTTATTATAAAAATTTCATTCAACTCGTAATAATAATAAAAAAATAATTATTAAAACTATGTTTATACATTTTGGTTTTCTCCAACTATCTTGAGCGGAGGGAGAGTAGACTATATAATTAGTTTGAAGATTGAGCTTTTAGGCCATGCATGACTTACATATTTTATTATTTTGAGAAAAATTATGGTATAACACTCACACATACTACTATGTATTGTTTGAATTATTTAAACTACTATTTATAGATAATATTCAAGATATGACACGTGTAGGTTGATAAGCCTTGCAAAGATGTTCATCTTCCACTCGTGACCAATTTGGTCCCTCCGAAGTCTGGGGCATTTTACAAATAATGTGAATAACAAAATAAGTAAGGAGAATAAATTTGCAAGAAATGTTTGAATGAAATGACTGTGGAAAATATTGGACAAAAAAATGAGTACGGAGAGTTGTAAATAAGTAGAGAATGTGATAACATTTGTATGAAATGAGTGAAATTTTTTGAAGAAATTTGGAGGTATTTATAGATATATTTTAGGGGGGAAAAAACAAAAGGGAAGCAAGGACAAATCTCCATGATCTGTCCACGCACATAAGATGACGCCATGCACAGTAAACACCTAAGAAATAATAGTGGAGAATAATGGACCAACCAACTAACACCACACCATGGACTTTACTGTCACGCATTAAATCAGAATTATTGAAGAAAAACACATTGCCTTTGATTTTGTTACTATCTATGCTTTTTCCAAAATAATTTATTATTATATAGTTTAAGGAAGAGATTTACACGTCAATATGTTATTTATTTTTAAAGTAATAAAAAGATGGGAGGAATCCGTACATTTAGACGTGGACTTGGCTGGACTTATCAAAACACGCGTCATATACCCCCGGCCCCAAAGATCTGTGTTCATTATGTCGGTGCTCGTTTGTTATTTTATTTCCCATATTTTTATTTTATATATATTGCAAAACGATCCTATAGTGCGTACAATTCGTTCCAGGCCCCAGAAGACATTTTCTTCGTATTTTTCTGTGTTTCTTCACCAAGTGCTCTAATTTTAAATGTTTATTCGAATAACGAAGTTATTTAGAAGAAGAGATTCGAATTTACGACGTCTTTTTAACTATATTTATAATAAAAATGAGGCTAGTTGACGATGTGGAGTGATTGTTAATCGGTTAATTGACCGTATACTAAATGTCTCTCTAACATTTCACTTTCTGAAATAATACCTGCAAACTGTGAGGTAGTTTTGTGGACGAATTTAGGTGTAAAATAAAAATTCAAAAACTTGGAGAAAGTGAAAAAGAGCAAAAGTGAAAGGGTAGGCTTTTGACTTTCTAACAAAGGGCCGGCACGGCAAAAGTATAAGAGTAGAAGAAGGTGTTCGTGATATGCAGCAAATGAGTACAAGTGCATCTTAGAAAAATTTAATCTACCAGAAGCTGCTTTAAAGTAACATCAGCAATGATATAAACTTTCCAAAAGCTCTTTCATTCTTTTGGGTTTGGCAACCACATATATGTAAATAAGGGACACCATTGTGAGGTCCATCTACATTGTATTTTCATTGTCTTAATCGTTTATATTTTTTTTAGGTATTTCTTCAAAGATCTTCCATGTAAAAAATCACTTGAATACGAAATCATTCGATCACTTAATTGATGATTGTAGTGTGTAGGTAGGGATGACAATAATACCCGTCGGGTTAGGTCCCCGGCCCTAACGGGGGGAGTTTTCGGGAGAAAATCGAGGTCGGGTATGAGGATCTCCGAATTTGCAAAATCCCCGACCGGGGATGGGCAGGGAATGAGATTGTTATCCCTATCCCCGAACCCGGCCCGATAAGTAATATATTTA